CTATAGCTAGGTTATAACAGAGCCCAGTTTTTGAATTTTCCTTCCTTTGATTTTTGAAAATCTTTTTTTCAAAAATTCTTGAATTTATGACCAAAAAAAATACTGATCACTTTAAAAGATCTGCGGTTTTTATTTCGGCAAAAGAGAAATTCAAAAATCAGGCTCCGTCACGACCTAGCCCCACCTGTCTACTATACAATAAAAAAACCTATTACTTCTGTATCCAATCATTATGAAGAAAAGCCTGCCCACGTAAACGGCACTGTCGAAAAACTTAGCTTTGAGAGAAACGAAAAACAAAACATTTGATGCGGTTAGCGTCTTTATTCGAAATAAATCTGGGTGTGGGTGTCACGATAATTGACACCCACACCCACATCTAGGGTGGCTTAAGTCAAAATCCTCTCCATGACGAATTATTATTCAGGATGTAGGTCTGGTTGTCTACTGAATAGATATCTGCAGTGAAACTCACACCTAAATCCATGCCATCTCTGGGTACATCCACATCCACGTCCACACCCACAAGATTGGTAAACGTGTTTGTTTTTTCTCTAAGGGTGTTATTTTTGTACAACCTTCCGAGAAACAGAAATACATATCATAATGGAGTCTTATAACATATTTCCGATATATTGGGACGTGTATTCTTCTGCGCTTAAATTTCTAAACAATATTGCTGCACATACACATTTCTCGTGAAGAATTCAGTCAGAAACGAAAATACTGGCACCCATAACAATTTATGTATAGAAAATGATATTTAGAAAATATACTTCGCGTGAAGAACATTTGTGAGTATGCTTACAGTTGGAGCTATATGAGGCCTATAATGTACTATAGCGTCCATTCATAAGAAGATGCCGCACATATAATGGAACTTAATGAACATTCATTAATGTATCTCATCGTAGGATTAGAACGCTATTGTGAACTGGACAATGCCAAGGAGAGGACCACTCAAGCATTCAGGAATAGGCTCAGCCCAAAATACGGAGATAGAGATTGGTATTATCCCGTCGAATTTTCGATTTATATGGTTTGATGATCCGACTGAAGAATACAACTTGTTGAGAAAGCGATTTTGCTACCTTACTAATTGTTCCGAAGATCACTGGTTTACAACGACAGAAAAAGAGAAGTGCCTTGCATATTTGGCTAAGCAATCGTCGTTGCACAAAGTTGTTCTCATCTCTAGAGGTAGCTTGACTGAAGATATCGTGACATTTATTGACAAACAATATGATAAAAAATTGCATTCATTATATATTTATTGTCAAAAAATTGATAAGTATTCAAGTTTGAAAGTCCAGCTGGAAAAAATGGTCCCAGTGGCTGGCATATTGAATAATCCGGAAATGTTGGTCCAGCATTTGAAACATCAGTTAACCATGGAAACACGTTTGTTGTCATTATCAGAAATGCCTACCGTCGATCCAAATGCAGCGAAAGTACTCGCAACGTACAGTACACCAGCGGATCTGCCATCAATTCAGCAGACAACAGGTCAGTTACAATACCAATCTGTACTAAAATAAAAAGCTTTGGCAGCAGCATTTGTTTTGCATCGGTATTATGAAATCAGGGACAAGTGCGATCTAGGAAATCAAGAAGAAAAACCTGAATTCAGCAGGTTATTACTCACACACACATGACATGAAGAAAATGTTATGGTTACAACCCGCGATTCTATAAAACATTAAATTCTCAACCAAATTGAAAAATGAAAGCTACTGCAAAATATCCTTCTGAGAAACTAATCTTGATACAAAAACTCATTCTATATCGTCAGAATGACAGTTTTACTTTATTCAGATATTTAGTAAGAGCAAATCGACAGCAATTCGAAGGGAAAGTTTTACAGATACGCTTGTAAAAAGCATTAAATTTAGGCAAGAGCTTAATCATTTTGATTTTCTTCAATTATGTACAAATTTTCGAAAAATGAGTGAACATATTTGCGATATACTTTGAATCCAGTAATATTTTATACAGACAATGCTTTTTTTAAATTTGAGTCAAGAATTTTCTTATGATAATGCAAGTACAAATCGGAAAAACAATCTGAGTACATATTTAAGAAACCCGCGAAATTCTTTTTCTGGATTAGTTATTTTAATCTCATGCAACTTATGAATGCTCATAAATTGAAAAAAAAATGTTCTATTAAGACATTTCACACATCAATAGATTGTCGAGATGATTGCAAATAGAAGCAGAGAGAAGACTAATGGTCGCACTCTCATCCTCAAATCACAAATATTTTCAAAGAAACTTGTGAGGGTGTGGGTGTGAACATGGGAGCATCGGTAGGGCTGTAAACATTATGTTACTAGACACCCGTATCCATCCACCCCAATATCCGACTAGACTTTCACTTCGTCTTAATACGCTGGTATAGACAAAAAATATGCTTTCATAATGACAACTGTCTTGGAGCTAATATTGGATCATTGCTCGCCTGAATTTTCAAAAACCTAAAAGAGAAACCAAGTAAACTCTTCTCTAGAATTGAAGTCCTCTCAATTCGCTATTTGTAAATGAAGGAAAAACTCATTTTTGATTTCCTCGACTCCATAGGTGTCGCATAAAGAATCAAGCGTTAAAAACAACATTACATATTGTACAGTACGAAACAAAAAACTCGATCAGTTTAGAAGTCCACTTTCAATCGTTCAATTTTCAAAGCATAATAGAACCTCAGTGGGCTTCTATTGTGGACAGGAGTTTACTTTTATTTTTTTCAACTTCTATTATCAAACACGAAAAAATATTAGTATCTGCTCTTGTCTTCCAATTTAGTTCGACCTGTGCGTGTATCAGATGATGAGGATATAGAGCTCTCCACCTCAAATCAGCAAATGATTGATACCTTTCAGGTAAAACTCAAGATGGTTATAAAATTTAATTGCAGTATATATTCTAATTACCATTAGTCTATAACCATATGTGATTATGAAACTTCCAAACAGATTTTAGAACAGCATGAATGGAATTTGCAGGTAAGTTACTGCTTGATTTTGCTCTCTTTTCTTGGATTCATCAATGTATTAATGTTTGTTTGTTAAAATACTTCAGTAGATAATCTTCTGATATGAACGATGCAACATAATAAGTTAAATAACGAAGAATGGGATAATACTTTTCATTGTAACATAAAATAAGAATGCAATGGTAAAAAAGCAAAGAAGAGATTCGAACTATGCTATTTAATATTCGTTCCTTGTGTTTACTTTAGTTCATATACTTTCGCATTATTGTTAGTATTGCAAGTTTAGCATTAATAAATGTTAATAAAGAGTACTAAGACGACACCCCTTATTACTTCGATAAGGGATCTTCACTTTCAAGAAATATATGTCAGTACATTTGTTTGAAAATTATTTTAGATTGTAATTTATGTCTCAAAAAACAGTGAGAACAATAGTAAATTGTTCCATAAGAAGTTTTCAAGAGAGTGCATTCCAGTCCTCAATAGAGTTTTTACTATAAAAACCTATTCACGTGTAGAAATGTTCCATGAGTTCTAATGTCACGAGTAACTACTGTATCAAAGTGTATAATTCGAAAAATCGATCATAGTGAAACATTCTTGTGCACATCTTCATGAAATGTAGAGAAATTACAATTATTTTCTTTTCTAATTGAAAACATAGACTTCAATTATCTGTCCGCATATGACACGTGAATCAACGGTCTTAAGTGCTACTAAAGTAGCTAGCTGGGTTTTCAAGATAAATCATAGAAAACCAAAGAGAAAAATTCTACCATTGTATAATATTCACACGCATATTGAAGCTTTCTCATGTCTACAATCATGTCATGTTTGGAAGATGTAGTGAGAGATTTTCAGGAGTGTTTTCAACTTAAAAGATACAAGTGTTCTTTGATTAAGTTCATCGAAAAAATGTCAATTACTTTGAAATTCTACACTGATTTGGGCTGAAGTCTTTTTCCAGCGTAATACTCAGGTAGTGTCTATGATTTGCTTTTCGGATTCTTGTTGAACGATTCATTATTTTACCGTGAACTTGCCTAAATGTTCCCTTATATCAAACTAGCAGTTTTTTATATGACTTATTTGTGTTGACTCCTGGAATAAAACAAAGTTAAAGAATAACAATCAGGGAAAATAAGTTTTTATCTTCGTGTGTTTAGTTCCAACAAAAATAGTGTAAGCGAGTATTGAATTTAGTAGCCTAGAGAAATGACAGCAAAAAGTGAAATCTTTTTCGACTATTAAAAGCCTAGTATTGCATAGTCAAAATGATTGAGAACAACAAACTCAATACGATTTTCACTGTACTTCCTAAAGTCTGTCTCAGTATAATTTTTCAGTAATTGTCAACTAATTAATGAATCCCCTGAAACCTCACCTATCAAAGAGCATCCTTCTGATGCGAGCTATTTCTTCAAAGATCAGTTTTGTAGATCACTTGTTCTACAAAATAGTATTGCTCGTAAAGATGCTGTCTTATTCTGTTCGCTCTTTATGCAGAACGACGTGCATCGCTATTCTAAATAGAAGCATACCGGAGTATTTTCCGCCTACATCTCCTGAATAAAATACGGTAGAATATATCATTAATGTATTTTGTGTTGGACGTTTCAATCTTTCCTCATTATAATTTTATTTTCTCCAAAGATAAGCAAAATGCAAGCATTGATGATTAGATTTTTAAACGAATAAGATTTTTCTTTTTCTATTCAGAATGCAGTTACGCATTATTTCGAGCATATAAGTATGACTCTCAGGCATTGTCTTTTCCATCTTATCACCGCGTCTTTTTAGATTCAGATGTAAGTCTCAGCAGTCCACCGAATCCAAAAGAGATGGCTGCTCATGTAGACAAAGAAATTGCTGAAATTCTTGCCGAATACCGTCGCCTTATTGAGCGAGAACCAAGTGCAACTGAGGAAACTGTAAACAAGGTAAGTATTAGATTTCTTCCATTACAAGAAAAGCCGGAAATGTATAACATATTGAACATTATCAGAAAATGGAAGCTGTAAGGGCCATGGCTAAACGCAAACGAATTGGATTTGCTGCTCATAATGAAAAGAAGAAAGAATTAATCGAATGTCTCAAAAACTATCGTAACATACTTAGTCACCATATACTCTATGGTACAGGTACAACTGGATCTCAGATTCAACAAGAGCTGAGGTTACCTGTAACACTATTACACAGTGGTCCTTTGGGTGGTGATCAAGAGATGGGAGCGATGATTGCTAAGGGCGAACTTGACATTCTCATCTTTCTTATCGATCCATTGAATCCTCATCCTCATATTTACGATATCGGAGCACTTGTTCGATTAGCTCAAGTATACAACATCGCTTGTGAAACAACTACTACTGGCATTAAATTTCTACTCACTTCTAAACTAATGGAAGAATCTTGTACAAGAGAAATTCCATTAACTGGATACCCATCAGCACACTGAGCCGTTCAAATTGAACATCATAAACTCTATTATCCATTTCATTCCTCGATGTGCCTAACTCATCCTATCCATCTCATAGATCTTAATCGATTTTCTATCTTCCTTATTCTTATCCATTTCAGTAAATTAAACGAGATCTATTTTCAAGTGTAGGATTTGGAATGTTCTATAGGTGTAAAGAAATAATTAAGTCGAACTACTTCGAAAAGATTTTCATCAAGTTTCACAGGAGGGGTGGGTGTGGGTTGGTGTAGACATGCACCAAGCTCAATCTGTTTGGTTTCTGCGAGTTTGGATATTTAAATTTGGGTTTAATTTCGGACTTGAATTTGAGTTTTTCGAATATTTAGTTTTTATGCGGTATTGAAGTAGATAACATCCTAATTTACATTCTGGGATATATAATACTATGACTGTGATTCACAAATCATAGTAAAGTCCTAATGGAACTGGGCAGCCTTTATTTTCGATGACACTCCTTGCTTGACTGTCCCGATAAAGAGGGTGTGGGTGTCGGTGTCGGTGGGTGTGGAGTGTGGAGTGTGGGTTTTATCTTCATTCAAGCTCACACCCACACCCTCTATTTTGACGGTTTAGCAGACATTATGTATCTATTTATTTCACATACAGTTTTTTTTTCTCAGCTACGATGATTTATGTCGAACATGATATTAAAATGGGAAGTACATCTTTGAAAGCGATATAGTCCTTTGTCAATTAAGCGTAGTGTTCAATTGTTTAAATTGTTTACCAAATGGTCCATATTAGTGTCGATCGTCAGAAATGTACCTATCAAATGCAAAAATAGTTGTGCACTAGTCTGATGATTTTGAGAAACAACGGGGCTAGAATTCTAAGGGTCACAGTAATTCCCCATAAAGACCAAAAAACGTAGTTGTTACAAATATTAGATTCATTCGAGATGTATATACATATGTACACGCAGACGGTTGACATGCAGCAAAAAATGCTTCGTAAGAAATATTTTGAGACCAGTTTTCAATGAACAACTGTCGAATCATCGTCCCGATGGTTGTGTTGGTTGAGAACCTACTTGATTGGTTGGTTTGCAGAGCAACAAAGTCGATTGGCGGAGCTCTATTAAATGATCTAGCAACCTGATCCACGCACATCTGAGAATAAATGCAATCAAGTGTTGATTGAAAGATGGCCTCGAGTGGAAAGCAGCCGATGCGAAAACCGAGAACTTCATACATAGACGTGCTACTCGAAGAATCAATATACGCCAATGAAGAGCACAAATACGACGTGCCACATGAACAATTGTCATTAGAAATAGGATAAGTGAAGACGGTCGCGTCCTGTTCTACTTTGTCGGCGATGTAGCTATACGGTATTTAAAATAGCATGCATAGGTGTATCAAAGAATAATCTTATTACTTACTTCCAGTTGCTTGCGTATATTGTCATGAAAGCATTGCTGTGAATCATACACCGAATGAGTTCTAGTGTACTAACAAATGTGCTTGGCGCCTCAAACTGAAAAGAGCTTATAGTTGAACGCATTTGTAGGTTAAATAGAGCTGCAGGTATCATTTGAGCAGTTATGAATTCTTTTGTGGCAAATTCTTCCAACGCATTAGTAAGCGTCTCCTGTGCTAATTGACAGAGACTTTGAAGTAGTTTAAATTGGCCACTAGCTTGAACGCGAAAATTTTTGTAGCGCTGAATCCTACAATACAGACATAGGGGATGAAACTCTCAATGAACAGACTAAAACTAGTTTAAAAATATTTGCTTCGGATAAAGTTGTGGTAATTCTACTTGTAGACATTCAGTTGAACGATCAAGATCAGTGACTACGATAATGCAAAAAAGTGCCAAAATGTCAACCTCGATCTGAGATATAGGCCACAACAAATAAACTTCAAACATTCGACTGTGTCTAGATATTTCAATATTTCGCGTTGATTCAAGATGTCGAATGACCATTATTTGAGATAGTAGAGGAACATATACGCTTGCTACCTTCTCTAACATACTTGTGGGTTTTACTTTTTCTACTTTATATTGAAAAACTCTTGAAGAATCAGTTTTCACAAAATCCTTGACTTTACAAGCTATCCAATGAAAGATTAAGAATTGAAATGATATCCGACTCCGCTATTTTGACCAATTCAAAGAAAACAACTACGAAGTTCAATTTTCTAGGCATTTCCCCGTTGAAATAGATTATTAGAAATATAAAAATATTGTTCTGTGCCACAAGACACTGTGAAAGAATGAAAAGTTGAAGAAGATCCATGATTTTCAATAAAAAGCCCGAAAATATCCTATCAAAATGATTGCGTCGAAGAAATCATCGGAAATCAATAGAAACTATCGTTTCTTCTTGGAGACAATGCAACTGAATCCAAAGCTCTCTTTTCTAGTTTTCTAGGATTCTAATGATGTAGTAAGCAGTGGTACTCTACGGTTTTCTATGAAAACTGAAATGGGATTCATCAAGAATATCAAAGCATTGTTATTTTGTTACTCACTGAGTCCCAGGAAAAACATGACCAATCCATTGACTTGAAACAAATACACTTGAGCAGAATTGATAAAATGAGTGATTAAACTCAATGAACTGTCCATATGGAATGCTTATTTGTGAACAAGCACAAATCAGTGCATCCGGAAAACGGCTTTGAAGTTCACTATAAGTATTTACGCTGACAGATTTCACTATACATGTATTCTCTTGAAGAGTTAGCGATTTGACAACGACTAAGACGAGAACACTAGCAAAGAGTAGAAGAAGATATAAACGGCTGGCATAACGCTACTCCTGTATGCAATTGTCTTCATCATCAACACGATGTGGAAAACAAATTGAATGTTTCAATTTTGATTCTGACGACATCGAACCAATAATGAACCCTTTGTCTTCTGCTCGTTGGAACTACATTGTTTTCGATAGGTGCTATTTTATGTATTCGTAGCATTACAAGAGGTATCAATAATGACATGAGAATACGAATTGTTATGTTCAAACCGCCAACAAGACTCAATAATGTCATGGCTATATAGAAAAAATTTGGTCGAGTTACATAAGAATAGGTGCATGATGAGGCTGCACATGCCATGTAATATGAGGAATACGAAATTTTGAAATGCCACTTTTCTACGAATAAACTTTCCACCAAAGTACTAATACTCGAATTTACATAAAAACGAGTTAATTGCGTAGAATCAAGCACACTTATTTTCGCACCACGTACATATTCAAGTGTGGAATTTAAGCATGATTCTGTGTAAAAGTATTCGAGTGATGAGAATAGCAGAGAATCGAGAGGATAGCATCCCAAAACGTGACCAGATATATTAAGAATTGCATCCGTATTTATATTCTGAGGATCGTAAGCGAAAAGTCCGATGGGTTCGGAACAATGACTATTGATAGCACAATAGCATCGTGTCTTATTGATGGTAACGACGTATGTTAGAATGATTTCAACTTGCTTACTTTCAGTTACATTCCAATAGAAATTATTCAGATTGGACGTGATTGGCTGATTACCTTGTATTGTAGATTCCAGAAGGCGAAGTTGCCGATTGAATCAGTCTGTTATCGAACTCGTAAAAGTGTCTACAAGAGACTGTGCTCGTGGTAATAATATTGAAGATGGTAAAGCCCATACACTAATAAAATCGGTGGCATTAAATGAATTTATTGCATCGATGACTGTTCTGTTAGCAAGTTCACAAAACGTGGCTAGCAACTGAAATAGACTGACACTAGCCAGGCGAAAGTCTCTGTAATATACAGAGTACATTTCTTTTGTAATTTCTCCGAGTAGATTAAGCCACATCGGTGAGACCAGGTCACTCGAACACACCTGATGAAATGATGGTTCGATGTGAATGAATTGGTTATAACCAATTAAAAAACGAGAACATGGACATGAGAGTGAATATTGTTATTGTGCATGTAGTTTTTCATAGTGTATCAGAGTGGTATTCGACACAGGTTGGGTTTATCTTTCAACAGAGAATCCAACATATAGCATAATAATAATTGTGCCCGTACAGAATAATACACAGTAGAGCCATGTAAAGTAGCGGCCAATACGAATTCGAATTTCACTGTCAGTGTGATGATAAAAACAAGTTAAGCTCTCTAAGCTGTGTCCAAAGCCAACGCACTAGATTAATCAGCCGATGACGCCAATGCAATCCTAGAGTAGAGAAGTGGAGTAAGGCAAAAGATTAAGCATCTTTCTAATTGAATTACTTTGTGCAGTTGTCAAGGCTAACCGAGGTCAATTTCTTACCATAATTGCATGAACAATTGGCGGAATACGCAAACGAAGAATGGCTACAAGTCCCCCATAGAGACAGAAAAGATTTGTGATCACTTGAATCACCGTTTTGTGCTTCTGTAAAGTATACGTGCAATACAATGGCTTGCAAGCAGCAAAAAATGCACTATACGTAACTGACGTTGTTTTACGATCAATAAATAGATTCTGGACGAGTTTTTCTACAGTCGTGTTCAATGTCCATGATAAAGAACTAGAGTCAAGTGCAGATGTTTTCTAAACGGGAAAGTAAATGATGAACTTATCAAGGCAAGATTGTTTAAAGAAACACTCGAGTGTAGAGACGAGGAGAGATTCCAGTGAAACGCAACTGACAACGAGTCCGTCGATTGTATCGGCAGTCAAAGAAATATTAAACCAGGTACTGTAGTCTCCTATTGCATAACCCGTGTCTGCCTGTTGGTAAATAGCTTCTTCACTGTGACATTGAAATGTAGCGGAGCAATAGCAAGGTGATCCGCCTGTAAAGTGTGGAAGAGTGTTAAATACAACCATAGCCCAAACTTCTTGAGTTTGATTTACAACAAATAAACTTGCCGAAGCATTAGTTTTCAATCTCGATATGAGTTGATTGTCAAAAGATATTTCACGAACGAGTTGTAGAATACGAGCAAATGTCGCTGAAACGTCGGCTTGGAAATCATTTACTATACTATTGACCTGACTTTCAAGAAGAATTGGTGAAATGACTTGCCGAGTGATCAATCGAGTGTTCGATAAATCTTTCAGATTATTGATCAGGGTAATATTCGAAAGATCACAGAGCGAAGCCATAAGTTGTACTTGAACACCGAGTGAACTTAGGATGTTCATGGGAAGTTAGTAACTGGCGTTTGAATAAAATAGATTATCAATCCATGATCTTAAGACAAATGGACTGTTACATATTGGATGAAATTGGGTGTCAACTGTAATAAACTGGCCGTATGGAATACTAACTTGGGAATATGGACATGAAAGTGAGTAGGGATATTCAATCAAGAGATGTTCGTAGTTAGCTAGAGTCGGCGTTTGAAGAGTTATTGCTTGAGTTATGATGCCGAGTGAAGTATAGATAATGAGAAATAATATAGTCGAGATAAGAGAAACAATATAGACTCTTGTCGACCACAGCTTTTCGCTTTGTGTCAAGGGGGAAGTAACTGATTTCATTGATTTCAGATGATTTCAGATGATTTCATTGATTTCAGATGATTTCAGGTGATTTCGTTGATTTCAGATGATTTCAAATGATTTCATTGATTTCAGATGATTTCAGATGATTTCAGATGATTTCAGGTGATTTCGTTGATTTCAGATGATTTCAGATGATTTCATTGATTTCAGATGATTTCAGGTGATTTCACATGATTTGTATCATGATTGGAAAGATTTATGCTTCTTATATAATTGAAAAGCACATTGCTTTTCTATTAATATCAACATAGTTAGATGAATATTATAGGAATGTATGAGCTGTATTGCAGAAATTAATGCTAAACCGACAGAAAGCTGTAGATGGAACGATGAAGTTGTTCTTTATTTCTTTTAACAAAACAGTTGGAAAATACAAAGTTTTAACGACCTGCAACTCTTGACAATCGATTGGCAGATAATGAGCTTTTATCCTTTTCTAAAAACCAACACGCAGCTTGTTTGTGCAGAAACTTATTTTCCTTGTTAATATTAACTTTAAAAAAAGTATGAGAAAGTTCTTTTTTAACATCATCGATTAATCGTATTCCACGATATGTTGATATATCAGCATCATTTACCATGACAAGATTATCGTTTAACTCAAATTCTTCATCGCTGTCACAATCATTTGTAGAATTATTTTCTTCAGCAGAATTCGTTTCATTTTCCGACTCGATATCTTGACTGTTGATTGTATCAATAACTGAGGACCAAAATGCGTCTAACGCAGATGAAGCAATATTACTCATTTCATCTATTGTTATTATTCGGCCGTTTCGCGATAGTTCCTTAAGTTTCAGTTGACTAAAAAGATTGGATACATATTTGTATGCTTTAAGAACAGTATTTTCAATAGATGTTTTTGAAAAGTCAATTGTTTTTGATGGGTTTAAAATACTCTGCATCGTTCTGGACAGTTTATGATGTTGAGGAAAGTGTAGATGGTTTTGAGTGGTATTATTTTTGATATTTTGTAATACTGATAATTTATTAATTCTGTTCAGAAACTGTAAAACCGTAAAATTCACTCCTGCTGAAGAAGCGCTTGATATTGCTCTAGCTGATCTAAATGTACTTTCGCATGTTTGAGAATTTTGTACCCAAATGTTAAGAGCTTCGATCGGAAGTTGTCCTTCACAAACTAGCATAGCGAGATAGACAAGACAATGTGCATTAATTTCCACGCAGAAATGTGATTGATACGTAATAAAATATTGACTTTTTGAGTGACATTGCTCCTTTATATAATTCATATCAAAATGAGATACTCTAGAGAGCATTAAATCAAGATCATTTTTATCCATTTCATTAATCCATAGTAACCAAAAACGAAAAATAAATACGGATGTCCATGCATGGTATATACGATCTAAAACATCAGTATCTTTTTCTATGTAAGCTAGTCGCACGCTTCTTATCGCCTACAATGAATAAAAAACAATTATTATTTATTGTTTCAAAAAATTTTAATGTAATAATTGAAGACTTTAATCTTCCCCTTCTTCTTATGAGTTAATAATTAGACTCATAAGACAGGATAGATTCATTTTCTCAACTTAAAAAAATTGTTCAGTTTGCTAGTGGTTGTTTAAAAAAGATAATCATTCTCTACGAGTTTCAATAAATTTAAGCAACATTATTTCAATCAATCTCAACAATTTTTTCCAAAGTAATTCAAAAATTTATCTTTTAAAAAAAGTTGATAATGAAGTCATTTCGTGCTTTTTAGACATGTTTTTTTTACAGACCTGTAAATAAATATTTATGCCCAATGAATTTGGAATTCTTTGAAGTAAATTCAATACGTTGTTACTAGAGATTTTTGCTGCTGAACTATAGTTTTGTCGATCCTTTGGATTTATATCAGAACGTACTAATGCATGATCAAATTTTGAATAATTGTTAATCATATCTAGAAGTGGTTCAATAGTAATTAGTTGATCTCCTAAAAGCAGATGTGTTGTTTCAGACAGAATTCTATTGCGTAGCTTCGTGCAGATGTGTACAGGATCTTGGAAACATATGTAAAGTTGCTCATGTTGCATGAAGAACCAGGACCAGGTCCTGGGAAGATCGATAGAAAACAGATCTGGATGGTCGTCATAAGCAAAGGTAGAAAAAAAACCCAAAGATGCTCGCATAGCATGAAGATAACGACTGTCGCAATCTGTTGAAAAACCAAGAATACGGATACCTTTTGCTTTAAATTTTTGGTGAATATGATGCCAACGTGAAATAACATCGGAAGATTCATATTTATTATCTGTACCATAAGCTGAGAGAAGATACGGCGAAGTATTGTTAGCTGACGAAGAAAGCGGTTGAATCAGATAAGCATTGAGTGACTTTGCTCTCGGTACACTAGAATACCATTCTTCAAGACAACTAAATGATTCCGTTGAATACGAGTTGGCGATGGGAAATCCATTATTATCGAGAGGGAGAGCAAAGCCAATAAACTTGTTGGATGTTGTATCATACGTAACTTTAGAAACGACTGCAGTAGTGTCTTCAGCTATAAAACCTATAGTTGATTGAATAGAATTAAAATAATCGCTAGCTTTTTCATAATTAAATAGTCCTTCTGTCAGATGGTTATCTGAAGCTGCAATAAATGATTGAATAATTCGTACAGTTGGAAGGAATGCAGGAATGTTTACACGGATGAACTCATATGCGGTACGACCTCCAAGTATGTATAAGCTGGTCGCAAATTGACGTACAGCATCTTCATAACGAAAACCTCTTTCTTCAGTACTTAGATTTCTAAACATATTATTCAATATAATATTTAAGAATGTAAAATCATATTTGCTCTTCATAATAAGATTTGAATAGACTATAAGTGTTTGAATAAATGGAAATTTTTTCAGAAGATATTCTGGAATGATTAAATCATTAGAGCTATTTGAATCATTTGAATTATGACGCATAGACGATTTTAAGTATTGTTGATTAAGACCATGAAGAGTATTGATAAAAGTTTCGACCTTGTTTTTTAATCCTTTTTTCAAAACGAAACGACCGTCATTGAGAAAAATGCCTGATTTTCTTTTTATTGGAATAAGTTCATCTGAATCAAGTTCCAGGAAAGAAAAAATATCGCCGATTTCAAGAAGACAGTCAACTGATGAGATGTCCTATACTTGCATTATCTCAAAAGCAATAGTACCACATTGTTGTTTCACGAGATCATAAAATGAATCGCTACGAAACGACAAGACTTGTTCTTTAAGATCTATAGTTAATGGAGTATCTGACATAATCAAAGTTTTCTAAAAAACAAATATAATCATAATATATATTGTAATTATTCAGCTGCAAAGTTCATATCAAACATAAACTTTGCATTCAAAAAGAAGATTTTTAAATGTATTTGCCATTGAGATGAAGGCCTTTTCCAGGATAATATTCTTGTCGTGCATAGAATTGTTTTATATCATTTTAAACAATCGTGGCATGATTTATTGTATGCATCAGAATAAAATCCTTTCAAGCTAAACAGACAAAGACGCATTTCATTTCATTTTATTGTACAAAAAGTTCATATAGATAGATCAATTGGATAAGAATAAATGAATAATAAAAAACGAATTGTACGTAGGAATGAATAATGAAATATTAAAAAATACATGAAAATTGTCTATAAAAAATTATTCAAATGTTTTCCTTTGTTTTGTTCGACGATGAGTGTATTGTTTGTTTTCTTTTTCGTTTTTTGAGAGATATTAAATCTGTTTCTACATCAGCAGATACATCTGTGATGTCAAATGAAGAAGGAAGATTGTCAGTCGCTATTTCATCAACATTTTTTAGTTTTTTTTGAACAAAAATGCAAGGATTTTGATTTGTTAGATGCCGAAGATAATTTGATAACTAAAATAACAAAATAATTATTTATACATTATCATGTATATATACATCTTTGAAAGTAGCTAACTTACTATATATGTATTCTCTTTTCGGCCTAATGTTGAAGTTGCACCACATTGACATCTAATCAAAACTTTTTTTCCATTAATATCAACAATAATCTCATAATCAATATTTTCTTGGAGCTTTAATATTTTATTATTATTAATATTATTCTGGTTCATTTTTTTGCACCAGTCATTTAGTGCTTCGATTAGATACTGTTTTATTTGATCTTCAGCTTTTAAATCAATGATTCCCGATGAAGACGAATTTAATGATGTATTAACAAACGAATCAGTAGAAGTATTGATGTTATTATTTACCAACGTATTCACCGATAGATTATTTGTTAGGAAAATATTTGATGATATTTTTGAGACGTCTTTTTTTAATGCATTGTATTTCTTCATTAATGTACTTTTCAAAAGATTCATTTTAGTCTTTATTCCAGGTAAAACAGTAAATGAATTATTATTTAATTTAACACACGTTGTCTTTTTTAAATCGAGCAAATCGTTCGAATCAAAAGATAAAATTTCAAGTGGATCATGGCAAGCAAGAAGACAATTCACATTACTAATATCTTGAAATTCCAGGAGAATAGCCACCTTTTCACCTGAGTATTGTTTGATAAAGTCGAAAAATTCATTACCTTCTAGATCCATAATATTCTGTGGTATATCGAAGCTTTTCGTCAACATATCAAAATAGTTTATGAAAAATAAAATGTAAAGGAAATCGATAGAAAAAATGCGAGGTTCGTTGAAAATGACGAAGACAGAAATGAACAGAAGAAAAAATACATGCTCATTCGGCCAGTTACATGAGAGAGAGAAAGCGTTCAATAAAATGTCAGATAGCTATGGTCTAGATATCGAGGTTGAACGATGATCGAATATATCTTGTCACATGTTATTCATATATGAAAATATTTATGTAAACTATTACATGAATTCTTCAAAAAATTAGGGACGTCCATGTGAAACGACTATATTTAGTTAGTCATATCATTTTCTAAAATTTACCGTTAGCTCAGTAGCTACTATTTTTGTTGTGAAATCCACAAAAATACTATCAGAAGTTGATTTCATTGTATTTTTTATTTCAAATCTGAAATTCTCTCAAGTTGACATACATTTATAAACACCATGATGTCAACTGATTTCAGGTGATTTCGGGTGATTTCGGGTGATTTCAAGTGATTTCAGGTGATTTCAAATGATTTCAGATGATTTCAGATGATTTCAGATGATTTCAGATGATTTCAGATGATTTCAGATGATTTCATTGATTTCAGGTGATTTCAAATGATTTCATTGATTTCAGATGATTTCATTGATTTCAGATGATTTCAGATGATTTCAAATTGATTTCAGCTTTTGAAATCAGTTACTTCCCCCTTGATTAAGACGCGAAACACAATGAAGCCATTTCACATGGGCACGAAGATACTTGTTATATTCATTACGAGCAGTGGCAAGATCAAGGAAGGATCATCTTTAAGCATCTATGTTGGTCTATGATAGCGGCTAGTATACGGAATTATGAGAGAAAAATAATATTTTTTGGCTTTTGGGATTTAAAAATGATTCGAAATCCAAAAATTCAGAAGTCCAAAGTTTAAAGATCCTACATTGAATTGTCCAAAAAGCCGAAATTCCATGATGAGAAGAACCAAACTTTAAAGACTCAAAAATTCAAATTAGCATGTCGACATTTCTGTGACGGCGTGTGGAACAGGAAGGAAATTTCATTTGTCTCACTGTATAATTCAATACTCATTACCAACTGTGTTTCAAAAAAGTATACAACGAAGAAGAGTTTTATTAATTGATGTAAAGTCAATGGGATATCGTATTCCAAACATCCATACGAACGTCAAACATTCGAGTGATTCAAACAACGTACAACTTTGATTACATCGTTAGAAAATGATTTTTTTAAATTTTGGTTCTTCTCTATCAAGGCCTGCAATCCGCTTGTTGTTTATTCGTTCAGAAATCTCCAACAAAAGAAAAGAAAATTTTCTAGATAAGAGTTCGAATGAAATCAACGTATCTCGATAGAGTTCTAAATCTCAGGCTTCGACTTGCAATGCGTAGGATTTTGACAAAAGCTAAGAAAGTTAGATCAACAAATTCTTCGGCAATTAGAGTTAATACTGCTACTATAGTTGCTTATTGGAGATCGCGCCATTCTCTTCAAGTCACTCATTCGAATTTGAAACATGTTTTTCATAATGAATAATCAATTTTAGATTTTTTTCAGATCTAGTATTTCTTGAATCAGAATATTTTTCTGTGGACCCAGTTTCAGATGAATTCCTCAATCCTTGACTAATATCAATCTGAAAAAAATACCTTTTGTTCTTTACGATTAGATCTCGTACTATTACTACCACAATCATTCTCTTTTTTAGATATATGTTTCATTTCTGTGTTTTAGATGTTAACTTCATATACGGAAGCGATGGTTCGATCGCTGGATGATCGTGAAAAAACTCAATTCAGAATATGAATCTGTACATATGAACTGTTATTATGTTTTCATTTTTTTTGCGATTGTGCTTTGCTTTTTTTTATTGTTAATAATTACGAGTTGTATCAGTCTTTTTTGTTTTTTTTATATTTGGTTCATGCAGAAGCATGTATATGTTTTGGTTTTATAATGAAATATTTGGTCAGGTAGAGTCAGTAATAAGGATTACTAAATATGTCTATAATAATTGAGATAAAATGATTCAAATGATGCCCATAATTAATGGAATACAGGGTAATAATCGATCCCAAAAATGACTATTTATTGTAGGAATCTTAGAAATCATCCGAAAAAGTCGACGACTAATTGCGTTTAAGCGCACGATTATCGTTTTGATATATCGCGATTAATTGTCAATGTTTTTAGCGATTTCGAGAACATGGGTTTAGATTCTAATCGATGCATTTATCATTAGTTCTTCCTGATGATCAGTAGACAATCCTCTTTAGAAATAGAATGAAGATATGTGAATAATGATCGATAAGAAAAAAAAAACTGAGAAAGCTTCTATGTATTTGAAATTCAGTGGTTAAAAGCGAAGAACATGAAAGATCTTCTTCATCGAATCGATAGACTAAAATCCAATTTATCAAAGAATTCATTCCTACGAAGGTTGTCGCCAATGATTGAAATTTTCTTTGCATTTGTTCAATAGTCAAAGCTTGCTTTCTTTATTTTATTTTTTTCGATAAGAGTATTTGTAAGACAGTTCTCTATTGCCATCAAGTCGTATCCCATTTGAAAAAAAAGGGAAAAGATTCAATTGAACGACATCTGTTAATAATAGTGTAATGATTGGTAATAAAGTAAACGATTAAATGCGTACAGCACATGTCTATTGATGCATGATGAATACTCATCAGTATTGTGCATTAGAAATATTCGGGGCAAACCGACGATAACCTTCGACAGCGACTTTATTGAATGAATATTTTAAATCAATGACATCAATTCAACCAAAAGAAGAAAAACTTCCATTTCAAGGCGAAGATATTTCTCCGAATCGAGATAATGGTAAATATTTCTAGTGGATATTATTGAGTGCTATCCTTGGTTCACTTTTGTTTTCAATTCAAAGGTCTATTGAAAGAAATTGTTCGTCAAGGTCTCCATGATGATAAACCATTGTTCGATGATCAAGTTTTTATTCATTATGTTGGAAGCGAACTTGATGGAAAAATCTTTGTCAATAGTCGAGATCGAGATGAGAAATTTAGTTTTAGTTTAGGTAAAGGAGAGGCTATTCCAGCTTGGGATCTTGGTGTAGCTACAATGAAACGTGGAGAAATTGCTCGATTTTTTTCCATACCGAAATATGCTTATGGTTCAAAAGGAGAAAAAAAATATCGATCTGCTACAAATGTCATCTTCGAAATAGAGTTATTAGATTTTGTCGGTAAAATCAATTTCTCGATATAGTTTACAATGCTTTTGCTTTCAATAAATTTTATTTTTTAGGAAAAGATTTAAGTGATGAAAACGATGGAAGTATTATTAGACGAATAATTCGTCGAGGTGAAGGACGTAAACCACCCAATGAAGATGGAACAGTAGAAATAAAGCTCAAAGGAATCTATCAAGACAATGTATTTGATGAACGAACTGTTCAATTTATTGTTGGATTGGCTTTTCTTCAACATATTCCTTTAGGGTTAATAGAAAAGATTTATTCTTTTTTTAATGTTATTCCAACTGAGTATTAATTTTTTGTCTTCATTGGATTTTAGTGTTGAACGTGCTGTTTGCAAAATGCTTCTCAATGAACATTGTCATTTAGTTTTAAAAGCGAAAGCACTTAAAGGTTTGGAAAAACTTTCGATTCCAATGGATGAATCTGTTCAATATGAAATAACATTGGTTAAATTTGAACGAGTAAGAAAAAGCAACAGACTTATTGAATATTTTTCTAAAGAATTCTTGATTGATTTTCTAGTTGGAAGAGGAAGGATCGTTAAGTGATAAAGAAAAACTTCAACAAGCAGAACTATTAAAGACACGAGCTGATGATCTTGTCAAAGTATTTTGAATATTTTTTGTGGTCTGTAATTGAATATGTTTATTTTGTGTAATTGAAGAATAGTTATTATGAACTTGCTGCGAAAAGATACCAAATCATTGCAAATCTTCTTTCATCAGCAACATTTCGAGATAAGAATGATTCAGCTAAATTACGACAATTAAAAATTGCTGCACAATCAAATTTAGCCTTATGTTATTTAAAATTAGGTGATTATCGTCAATGTAAAACTTTTTGCGATAATGCATTAGCTTTGGATGCTAGAAATGAAAAATGTCTTTTCCGTCGTGGTCAAGTTTATTTAAATTTTTCGAATTTTGAACAAGCGATCAAAGATTTTCAAACTGTTCTTAAGATTAATCCATCTAATGTTGCTGCTCAACAACAAATTGAACACTGTCAACAACAACAAATTAAACAAAAGGAATCATATAAAGCCTTTTTTAATGATACATCCAAACCGGGTCTGTTCGACACCGACGAAAAAGTTTGAAATTAAAATTTCAATGAATTCTTTTTAAAGAAAAGTAAATGTTTTTTTTTACATTTTAGTACGAAAAGGAAAAAGAAAAGACGATGGGAAAGAATGCATTGCGATCTCTTGGTCTAGAACCTATTTCTCTCGAATCTCTCAATATCAGAAAAGAAAAACCATCAAACAATTGAACAATTCTTCGATGTAATCATTTGTTTTTTTTTTCATTCATTCATTTCTCTTTGTATTATAAATAAAGATTAAAAATAAAAACAATTCATTGAACCTTAATATCTATGTATTTTGAAGATGAAGGTAACGATTGGATGTGGGTGAAATTGACTGTGGATATGCCAATGACAAGCAGGATGACATTTTTGCTTTCATATCCACCTCTCATAGATGAATATATCGTGTTGAAATTGCAGTTGGCGAGCTGTTGAATTATTCTCATTTTTATGTTGAAAACATCCAAATCTTTCCACCAATAAGAAAGATACCAACAGAACCTGATCTTCTTGCTCTATTGATAGTGACTCATGCCGGATATTTACCTGTGTATGAACGGATGTAAATGAATTCCTAGAGGGTGTCTGGAGTGCTACATTTATTCATCATCTGCCCTCAATTATTTTCAGAATGTCACCTTCAGGAGTGTCTATCAAGAACTTACGCGAATGATTATTGGCTGATCAATTAAATTTGAAACAGTTTTACGATCAACAATTTCTCTGTCGAGTGATGAAAATAATGACTCTCTGCGTTCTTTCTATTAATAAGATACTCGATAGAACTGTATTGGTTAGTAGCTATTGGCAGTGATCTAGATTTATCATTTTTTCTTTGTCATGATAATTTACAATATGTTAATACAACTAAACAAAATGTTTGAAGATAAAGATTATTTTTATTTCAAATATCACCAATAGGAATGATAATTAATGAGGATAATTTAAGTAAAGAAATTAAATCACTAAAAATGAAGGTGTTTGTGTTTTCAGTTACAAATTCGAATAAAACCTAGTGTAAATTATCATAACAGGGTTCAAACTCACAAATACAAAATGTTAACGACCATTGACTGGACATGCATGGAAGAATCAAATTATTGAATTTTAAACTGAATTTCTTTTCTGCAGATAGGTTTCATAGTCATGAGAATGCTTGAAAAATTNTTTTTTTTTATATCACTATCTGTTTCTCATGTATATCTATTGAATATGGGTTGTCGCGATATCTATAAACAAGTGATAAACTTTTCATTTAAGAATATATGTTCAATATGTTTTTCTTTTACTATTTTCAGATGCATGACATTATGTCCAAGTCAGAGTGACCTCATCGTTACTCCTTCTTTTGCTGAATTTTCTTAAAATGTTTATATTAAGACCTTTCTTGTTTTCGTTTTGATATTTATTTTGCTATATTCTAATCTGTTGTATGTCTACTGACCGTAACCTAAAATATTCGTGGGTCGCTCAAAAAGTACCTGAACTGGTCTTATTAAAAAACAACAAGAAGTGCTGTTGCATTCGTATTCTTACCTATACATAGTTAATGCAATCCTTTATCAATAGACGTGATAAGCTCTACTGTATGAAGCATAAATATGAAAAAACTAGAAATACATTTTAGACTACTCGTTATATACTGACATAAAACGTACATCTTGAACAAAGTTGTATGCTTTGAAAGAGCGGATATCATTCAAAGTTTATGAATATATGGTGACAGTTTACAGTATTAATGCTGTATTATATAGTACAATATTTGAATGAATTCATTGTTTCAAAAACGAATCAAGGCCTATTAATGATTTTTCTAGCTATGGTCAACACCCCGCATTGATATCGTGTTAGAGAGTGGGACCTTCTCGTGGACTGATTTCAGTCATATGTGATTGATCATTCGAAATACTTTACACGGTACATATGAAATACGAACAGTATCCGATATTGACCTAGATGCGGCTCAACCCTCTTCGACCATCAGCCTAGTAAAATCTTTAATAGTTATGCTATTTATATCTAAAAGTGTTATCAACTCATCATAACCTATCTTCAAGATGACGATCTTCTTCAGAAACTGTAGTGATCGTTGAAAAATAAATCAACATAAATGGTGCCCGCATGTTCATATCAATTAAACGAGGTATTATCTGATAGAACAAGAAATTTCATCCTTGAATGATAATCAATTTTTATGATTTTTTGTGAATGTGTAGAGAGTGACCTCGAATCTATTTCTATTTCTATATATATATATATCATGCAATAGAGCTTATCGCGTCTATAGATACAGGACTGCATCATCTATATATAGATAAGAATACTAATACAATAGCGCTTTTTATTGCGTTTTAATACATAAAAATAGTCTGGATAATTTTTGAGCTCCCTACGCATATTGAAAGAGATAAATTTGGAATTTTAAGATTTATCACAAGAGGTTCTGAATGAAGAGACCATTAAAAATGTTATTAGAATGTTCTATTAACCCCTCGTATCTGTGCGAGAGTCCACCTAGACCACTCATAAAAAATAATGAACAATTGATGCTATTGTTTTATTAACGCTATTGAATTGTTTACTATAGATCTCTAAATATTCTTGTTGTATAGACTGACATGTAGGTTTCCATGGCGGCAATATGAGAGTATGAAATATCGAGAAAAGTGTGAGTGGAACTACGTATGAAATTCAACAGATGTCAGATTCCATCATTCAGTCTAGAACAGTGAAAATACGCTCATATTTTATCATATAAAATTGTTTGTAGATAAGAAGGAAATATAGTTTGCCTTTTATTTATCTTTTTTTCCAGAAATAAAGACTAAAAAATTTAAAGATTCGGTGTTACAATGATGGAGTTGTTCTTATTTCAGCTTCATTTTTCTTGACAAGTCTGGCAAGATACAACTGTAACATATTGCTAGAATGAGGAGCACAGACACTTTGTCTACATTTATAACATGTTTGACGAGTTTTTCGTCCAAGTCGTGATGGGCACAAATAATATGTTCTTTTTGCTCGGTTAAAATTAATTTGTACACAAAGATCTTGCATAATTTTTGAAGAGACATGATAACCGAGAGCCAGCAAAGCAAGCTTTACTTTTGGCAGCTTCAGAAAGACCTTAAATGTTGCCTATAACACGATAGTTGTTGTGGGGTCCAAGCGGACCCACGCCTGTGTTCTTTATCAGTTAGATCAATTCACAATGTCTAGTAAGGATATTATACAATAACAAGAAACTAGAGAGTAGGAATGACCAGAAACAACGCATGCCAATGTATTTCTACACGAAAAACTGTGAATTAGATACACATGGTTCCCAAAACAACGACGAAGAGTTAATTGTTATTGTGTTGTAATAGATCTTCCTGTTCTAGCAGTACATCCAATGGCTTGTAGACTGAGAACCTTAATATTCAAGTAGGATTCCCAAAGATTCTCTGAGATTCCAGAATTCTGCGTTTTTTCCTTGTTCCGGACGCCTTGAAGTTATTGGAATTCTTGGATGTTTTAGTTGCGTGATAATTCTTGATACTCTACGAAGTGACTTAGGAAACTTGGTAAATTTTATTCCTACGATAATTTTAATGATGCCGGGAGTCTTACGAATGGCTGTTATCCTTTGAAATTTGTGGAATTTTCTCTCTCCTGGTGATCATTGGCACGCAGAAATGCCTCGAAGACTTTGGAAGTTAGGAATTGATGTGATCCACGCAGTGAAATATATTGTATACATTATGTTCCGCTTTCTCTTACTATTTCTCCCCATTTTATGTAGTATTATTACCTTTCTGTCCTTTTCTTAGTTTCTCCTTTCCTTCCATGATCTCTTTTTTTCTCTCCTGGTTGCATATATAAACTTTTTCATTGTATGTAAATAGCTCGACTAATGATATGAAGAAGCTAAATAGTGTCATTCCCTCAACACTAATACTTCTTTTATCAGCAATTGTTACAATTGTTTGCTCGTATGATGCTTATTGACTGCGCAATATGGCTGCTGAATCTTTACAGTTTATGATGCGCTTCTTTTCCTGATGTCTTTGACATTGGTAAATGGTGAAATATTTAGAATACTTTATTTCCTTAGTTTTTGTAATGATTCTGAAGACTTCGAACGTGCTAGGAATGATTGAAGTTCTTGAATTTGTTACTTTTCGACGAATCATTAGCGGTCATGAGTGCCTCGGAGTTTCTTCGACTCGTGAGGTTTCTAAGTTTAGTGGTCATCATTTGCAATTTTTAATGGCTGTGAATCATCGAAATTTATAATTTTTTTAGTCCTCTGATAATATGTAGCTGTCGTAAATGTTAAAAATCCTCCAAAATCTTAGATTTCTTAGCGTATTGGCCATGTTTGACCTTTTGAATTGATGGATTACATAATTTGCTAGATTTCCTAATCTTACAAGCAGCCTTGAGACAAGTTAAACCCGTAGAATCGTTGGAATTCTTCAATTTATCAGGTATCCGTATATTCTTGACAATGTATAACTGCTCTGAATCCTTGGCATTTCTGGAATTTTTAGTTCTTAATAGCGAGAAATTGTTGCATTTCTTGGTTTCTTGCTTATTGTTGATATTCTCGATTTTGTTCTGATAATCTTACATTGCTACGAATGCATAGTTGATTCTGATTTGTTAGCTTTCTTACGGTCTTTCATATTGCCAAATGGATAGGATTGTTTCCAGTTACGGGATTTCGCAGTTCTCGATTATTTTTGTCAGTGCGTGAAATGGGTTGAAATCTGGCGAATGCTTCGATTTGTTTAAACTCTTGACTGTTATGAGAGGCTTGGAATTAGTTAATGGCCCGGAAGGAACTATTTCATTTCAGACGAGAACGTGTGGTGTGTTTTGGATCTCAGACTGCAGCTGCCGGTGCGGATGCGCATGATACTCTTCGCTTTCATTACACTCATACATAGTCATATAGACCCTCACAAACTCTTATGTATTTGAATCGATACAAATTTTTTTGTACTCGATGATTTCCGTTATCGACGACAGAGATTGCCGTGCCGATCGAATGACAAACCGGTGGGTCCATTGAGTTGGTTCGATTGTCCTCCTTCACCGTTTCCACCAACAATGACACTTTCCTGTGTGGCTCCTTTTGGCCAACGCATGATTCGAGCATTCCCACAATCAGCCACATAGACAGTGCCCAATTGATCGACAACAACTCCTTGAGGACAAGACAATTGTGTAAGGCCATTTCCTTCTTCTTGACCACCAGCCACGACAATGCCTTGTTTTGCACCTTCCACCCATTTCATCAAACGATGATTTCCCCAATCAGACACGTACACTGAATGATCTCGATCGACGAATACGTATGTGGGACCAGAGAGTTGATCGAGACGATTTCCACTTCCATTGCCACCTGCAACCACTGTTCCTTGAGATTCTCCTCTTCGATATCGTCTCACTTCATGTTTTCCAACATCAGTGACATAGAGAGATCCATTCTCGTCCATTGTCAAACCCCAACAAACGATGTTCGAGATGATCGTTTCTCCACTTGTCCCATTTCGACGAGGCCATCGAACCACTCTTCCATTCGAACCATCGCAGATGATGAGGCTATCTCTCTCTTTGTCGACAATCACATCAAATGGGTTATACAACTGATGAGCCCCACTTCCTTGCCCATTTCCACCGGCAACCACTTGACCACTCGTCGCACCCCATTTCCATTCCACAATACGATGATTTGACTGATCAGCGACATACACATTTTGATCATCATCAACATACAAACCCCATGGGTTAGAGAGTTGATTGATTCCATTGCCTTGTCGATTTCTTCCAGCCACAGTGATACCATTCTGTTGCCATCGAGCATTCGGATGAATGTTGGTGCTGGACGGAGAACGTAATGGGTAGTCTGAAATAGTGACAGGCAAAATTATAAAATAAGAGATAATGAGAGAGAGAGAAAACAATTGTGTCTTCATAGAAATAGGATTTGCTACAAGACAATAAATCTTTTTTAGTCAAACTATGAACTTTGTCAATCACGATTGTTTTGTTTTAAACTATTTTCTTGAATTCCAAATTATTCATTGCAATTTTCTCGCGTCAACTTTCTATTATTCCTTTATTGTGCTTTTAAATTCGATGATTCTTGTTTTTATGTTAAAATTCAAATTCGTGCGATTCTCACACAAACAAAAGTTGCCTATATATTACAATGAAACAGCAAGTTATGCTCATGTCTGACTTTCAATGAGAGTAATAAACAAAATCTTTTCGTTGAAAGTTCAATATTCATGCTAAACTATTGTCAATTCTAGGTCGTTGAACAATAACTGCACAAGACTATTCTTGATTTACAATTCGCATGGCCCACATCAATGTTGTATTTTGCTCATCAACTACTTTTGTTTCATTGTGTTGGACAGTTTAAAAATGATGAAGCATGTCATCCGAAAATGTCGTCTTCCATTTTGAGGAAGGGTGGATGAGATTGAGAGTTATTTTTAACTTTGATACAGATAACTCGTTGAATGCTTCTCAGGAAGGAAGGAAGAAAGGAAGAATACCCTGCTTTTCAGCTACTTTGGGGTATGGGGTGCTGTTCGAAGACAATCTCGAAGATCCGATGTTTTCATTTAGCCATTACTAGCTGTAGCTCCAGACAGAAGGCCGGCCTGACTCTGAGTTCCTCCCGCTTAATCACTTAAGCTCCACATGCATGATAACTAACCACATAGCAGCCACAAGGACTTTTAGTGTATGTCAACTAGGGTGTGGGTGTGTGGGTGGTGTGTGCGTGTGGGTGTGTGAGTGTGGGTGTGTGAGTGTGGGTGTGGATGTCTTTATTTAGAAGTATTCTACAATCACCCACATCCATACCCACACCCACACCCACACCCACACCCACACCCACACCCACACCCCACACCCACACCCTGCTCAAAATAAATCGATGACCATTTTCTTATGCTTCCTCTGATTTGAAATCGAATCAGATCTGGTATCATTATCAGCATGCTTTCAACAGATTGAGACGATAAACATCCATCTAGATAAAATCATTTCAATTTCATATGTTGAAATGAAGGTGGTGCAGAGATATCTAAAGGACGGAGCACTTTTAAATCCAAGCGAGTCAAATCAGGACACGATCTATGGATGCATTCAAAGGCACGAGAGTTACTCATATTGCCTATGCTTATGGTTCTTAAGAATGAACTGATGAAATCGCGAAGTTAAAGGTGTATGACACATACCAAACACGTGCAACTGTTCCAGGTATGGAAAAGAAGTAAAAGAACAAAGTCGTTGCAGTTGAATATTTGATGGAAGAATCTATGTTAATGACCGAATATTTGAAAAAAGATTTGAGATCGATCTGTTTAACATCTTCTAGAGTAAGTTTAATGACATGAGAGAAGATTAGCCAGATTAGCTCATGGCTTTCAATGCTTGTAATCCTAAAATATAGACCGGATATGTTATCAATAAGTGATCGAAATCGATAGTCGACATCATAAAATACACGATAGAGTTCTCGAGCCGTTGAATATTTATTACTAACAATACCAAACATCTTCAATTGCATTGTCTGATATTTAAAAGGTAAACCTGAAAGAAAAAGACAATTTTTTTATCTATTTTATCATGCGCCTGTGAAATACAACGATAATGTACCATGCACATCATGTTTTCAAAAGACTTGATATGTATTGCAGCGAACTATTTTCTTTTCCGACAGACGATTGTGTCAAGTATGCAAACACATATGCCAATCAGATATTTATGAGGCAAATATTAGAATGTCAGCACATCGAATATGATAGCCTATTTAAACAGAATATACACAAAACAAAATATTCACGTAAAAAAAATCACTTGAAATCTGAATTTCTAATTGATGAATGTGTAAGATTTTTGTTAGTCGCAGTAATTTCATGTAATTTTGAAAAGCTCATAGTTTTTTATCCATTCTGAACAGAACAAGTGTTGCGACTTTGTGCAAAAAAGTTTCTTCGAATGTTGATTTATAAATAAAACACATAAAAATGGAATAAGAATAATGCACAAATGTCATTTCTGCTTTTCTCTTTCTTTCTTAGTCATCCACTGCGATAAAAAAAATTCCAGGGTGTGAGTGAGAAAAGGGATTTGAGGAAATACCTACATCCTCTTTGGTATGTTAATCAAAATTTGCCTCGTTGTCTCATTTTAATAGATGATTTCTTATTCATGATTGCTACGTATTTTTTATTTCAATATTATTTGACATACATGTATTAATATTACTACTACCCAAAGTCATAAAATGAATTATTTAGAAAAAAGAAGTAAATTTTTTTTGTGTGAGATGTATGTTAATCCCACCCGACTGGATAACCTCTTGCATGATTTTCCTTTTTCAACCATTCATATAATGGTTGAAAAAAATCTAATATTGCTCCCGAATCCAATTTGGTCTCTCCATTTAAGCTTTGTAAAACTATCGGCCATGGCTTTGAATTTCCCATATCTAACATATCTTTAAATTTTTCTCCAACATGTTTATTTCCATATATATCACACATATGAAATCGTTCTGTAACACCTTGTAGTTGACACATACTACGATACAATTGAAATTCAAGGATATGAGCAATAAAATATCTTAGATAGGGAACATTCGATGGTATATGATATTTGGCGCCGGCATCAAAATTTTCTTTATCGTTTCGAGGTACAGGCGGCATAATACCACCATGTTTAATTCGCAGTGCCCACCATATTGAATTCAATTCATTTTCATGATCAATTTCGTCACGAAAAAGTAAAAATCGATATTTATCCATAACATAAGCAAACGGTAGAAAAGCAACTTTTTGTAATGCTAAACGTAAAAGATAATTAATTTCATAATGTGAATTGACAACATTTTCGTCAAGAAAATCCAACGTTATTAAATGTGTCGGCGATACTAAAAAAATATTGAAGACAAAGAAATTCGTATGACAAAAAAAAAGAATTTACTTGCAAAGATACCAATTGTATCTCCAATGGCTTCATGAAAACCTGCATTAGCTCCTTCTTGATAAGCATAGGGTTGATTTCTATCATAAGCCATGAAATACTCTATATGTCCTAATTCATGATGAACTGTATCAAAATGATCATCATTGACTTCAGTACACATTTTAACACGAAAATCATCTTGATATTGCATAAAATGTGCAGATGCATGACACACAACATCACGATCGGTTGGTTTTTCAAATAAACTACGAGCCCAGAATTTTGGTGTCATTGGATAAAGACCAATTGATGTAAAGAATGATTCAGCTGTTGTAAACATCCGATGAACAGTATATCCTCTTTCAATTAATGCTCCTGTAATATTAACAAGTGGAGCATCAGGATAAGGAATTAAATCATCGAAACGATCATTCCATTGTTGAGCCCACATATTACCTACAAGTAATGCACAATGGAAATGTGAAAAACTAGTCTAACTAATGTGAAAGTAATTTCATAGATGGTGTAACGAAGGGTTATTGATAGTGAGGTTTATGATTCTATATTTAAAAATTTGATGATAGTTTTTGAAGAAAAGAAGAAGGTCACATTCATATCTGTATTCCTGCATCTTAACAGTATACTTTGATTATGTTACTCATAAAAGTTAAATTTACCGAGAATATGAGCTGGAATAGGCCCATGACAATTAAAACGATTTGGGTATATTGAACATAGACGACCTCGAACATAAGCATGTAATTGTTCATATAATGGCATAGTATCATTTAAAAGTTGATCAATAATTTCTTCAAATTCTTCAGTATCACCCATCTCATACTCTGCAATCCATGGTTCCTGAAAAAAAATAACTATTACGTATAACATTCTTTTCTTATGCAAAGTGCAAGAGATAAGAATTTCTAGTAAGAAGTTTAGAAAGTATTGTTAGGCAATATTTTTAGTAGATTCATCACGATTCTGTTTTTTTTTGACAAACTCTTGACGCTCAATGAAAAGTGAAGTCAGAAGTCATTTACATATAGTCTGGTGAAGAAAAGTGAGTTGAATCACATGTGATTCCTTTTATGGTAATTAAACGAAAGTTTTATGAGCCTCTTGTTGATAAATTTTTGATTGGAGTTCACAAAACTTTGATTGTACCTTATTATGAAACACTTACAGATAGATCTTTATATCCATTTTCTTTAGTATTTTTATTCAATAGATTGATATAAGGTATATAAACAGGTCGAACTTTATTTCCACAACTATCATGCCAACCTTTCCATGCCCATATTAAACGATCATAATCTTTTTCAATTTGCATTGATCGTTCTAAGTACGGCGAAAGTGTATAGCATTTTTCAGAATCATTTGATTCACAAATTTTTGTTGTTGCATAAATATCTTCTAATTCTGCTTGTAATTGAGAAGTTCTTTTTAAATCGTCTTCATTATTATTAATTGTACCTAATGCTAAACGACCAAATATACGTTTTAAATCTTCATTTTGAGAATATTTCATATATTCATTGANTGTATAGCATTTTTCAGGATCATTTGATTCACAAACTTTAGTTGTTGCATAAATATCTTCAAATTCTGCTTGTAATTGAGAAGTTTTTTTTAAATCATCTTCATTATTATTAATTGTACCTAATGCTAAACGACCAAATATACGTTTTAAATCTTCATTTTGAGAATATTTCATATATTCATTGAATTTTTTTGCTGCTGTTAAAGATAATTTAGTAAATGGTGCTCGAATTAGAGTTTGATTAATCAATGCTTCCTGATTTTCTTCATTTATATTTGTTAAAAAATTCCAGCCAAGATGACTATCTATCTGAATTGAGTAAATTCATAAAATAATTCAAAAGTCTATGTTTATCTTACTTGATTATATCGCTGTGCAAGACGAACATACCATGTTAACCATTGTGCAGCCGTATGTTCATTGGAATAATCATCTATCATAGGCATGTTTTTTATATCTTCTTCATTTAATTTATTCCATAATTCAACAGAAACGCGATCATTGGGATCAACTTCTGATTGATAATTGTCTGTTTCTTGAGTGTTACGAATAAAACTACCTTTATTATCACCGATGGAACTTATTCGTTGGAATTCACCTTCGAATTTTTGTTTTGACATTGAAATAATTCTTTCTAATTGTTTTTCAAAAATATGGTCTGGTTTTTTATTGGATATTGAACATTGAAATAAAAAGATAAATAAAACAAGTATAACAATAGAAGTCTTCATTATGCTGTCTTTTTTAATTAAAATCCAAAACAATAATTTAGAAAGTCGAACTTTTCTTGTTTCTTATCTTTATAGAACCAAAAGAAATGAAAAATGTCAATGTTGATACAATTTATTTCAATCAATACACTGTTTTTATTTTTTTAAGACAAGGATAATCATACGTAGTATTTTCTTTTGCTTATGGCATTTATATAGATAAATATCTAGAATGAAGGGATTATTGTCTTACTTAACTCTAATGTTGTCTGTTGAATATAAATAGACAGCAAATATTTGTTATATATATGTCAACGTTTATCCGCAAAAATATAGTTGAGTGTCATTTTCGTGAGCATTAGTGCTCTTTCGATGCATAGAACGAAGTAACACTATTATTCACTTTTATCATCGCCAATGAACAAATCATGCTGAAATTTTTAACTATAATTAATTAATTAGTTCATCAAATGCTCGAGATTGACCTTTTTGTGATCAGTTTTGTTGCTTTCATTCATTATACAAAAAGAATATGATGTACCAGAGATGTGCACCGCGCGCGCGGAGGCGGAGGCGGAGCGGAGGGCGGTCTGCGCGAGCGGCGCGGACCGCCCCGACCTAATGTCAAACATGACGCGGTTTTTGGGCGGCCGCGCCACCGAAAAAAATTTTTAGGGACGTCCGCTCCGCGCCCGCCGCTTCGGATAATATGTCCGCTTGGNAGATATGGATATTTTTCCAGCAGATATGGTTAAAATAGTAGGAGAAATGCTCCATCCATTTCACTATTTATAAAGAGAAATCGATTTATTGAAAGAGAAATGGATTATTTTTTTTCTCTCTTATATAGGATTTTCTAGCAGATATGGATATTTTTCCTGCAGATATGGTTAAAATAGCAGGAGAAATGCTTCATCCATTTCACTATTTATTAAGAGAAATGGATTTATTTAAAGAGAAATCGATTATGATATTTTTGATATGGATAGTTTGGAAAAAACGTTTTAACAATTAATTATGTTGACTCAGATGTACATCTTAAAGCGCATCGTGTGTATGAAGGATTTTCTTTGAATATAATAGTGTTTTATATCTATAAGAATTCTTGTTAACGAAAAGAAAAACTAATAATAATAAAATTGTAATACAATGATTTTGTCTGATTTTATGGTGGTGTTGGAATCTTTTTCCTAATTTTTGTTTTAAAGAATATCGTCAACTCTTATGTAAAATAAATTATAATGAAAGGTAATATGAAAGAATGTTTGAAAGGAAATTTTGTTTACTTAACGATTCTGTAATTGAAATGCAGTAACAGATAATGCAAGAAATTGTTTCTCATCTAATGTGTTGTGTTTGATGTTGGTTGACGTTGTTTTCGACGTGCTTGATTTTTTCTTTGTTGTCGGTTGTATTTTTGTTTTTCTTTGCCTTCTTCCATTTGTGCCAATTCTTGCATATGCAAAACGAGCTGTTCAACAGTGTTCATGTAAGAAGCGTTGAGATCAGTGGATGTTCGATATGTTGTATTTGTTTGAAGTTGATGATTCGAGAATGTTTTTATTTGCTACGGCGAAAAAGAAATTACGTTGTCCAACTATTGAAATTTTCTTACTTTAGGAGCTGTATCACGAGGTGTTATTGGCGTAATTGTTTCATTCTTGATTGTTTCCTGTATTTAAAGACGTTCAATTTGTTTTGTTCCAAAAATATACTTACTTCATAATGAAGACGTTGTTGCTTGTCTGCCAAGTATGCCAAATTGATTGTTGGAAGATCAGGTACTGATGAAGCCTAAATAAAGTCGATTTGAATGGAAAGTTTTTTTTTAAATATAACTTACAATGTTAAATATATGTGTTGGACGTATATGGACTCGTTCGAGATTTTTATAGTGGAATAGTAATAAGAGATAAATAGGCATCTTACGCCAACCAAGAGAACTTAAAATGTTCGCGTATCCCTTAACCCAAGAAAATAGCTGCTCCGCTGCTTGGGTATTTATCCCATCGAGCACTAATTCAGTGAGAATCATATAAATGTGATATTAATATTGAAAAAAGCTCACTTTTATTTTTGTATGGGTTCATATGAATCCTACACCACTTGCCAACATGTCCTTGAAAATGTGTTTTATCAACACTGAATTGTGTTTCATAGAGGATTTTTGATGCAGGTGTTTGTAAAAGGTCTTCACCAAAATGGTTTCGAATAAACTCAACCAAGTGACATCCATCATCATATACCCCACATTTGGGAAAGTTGAAGTTAGATGCTAAAAA